TCTGAAGCTGGGCTCGCTGGGTTGGGGTCTTGGAGGAGCTGATCCGTTGAACATTTCTTTAAGTGTTTCTTAGCCATTTGAAAGTCTTTTATTAAGAATTCTCTTTTAAATCTGCTCCCTGTTTTTATATTGTATCATTTGGTATTTTGATATCTAGTTTCTTGATTTCTTTGTATATTTGGAGTATTAATCCTATATCATAAGTGGAATTGTTAAAAGTCTTTTCTCATTCTGTAGACTGCAGTTTTGTTCAATTGATGTTGTCCTTTGCCTAACAGAACATTGCCAGTTTCTTGAGGTCCCATTAATCTTATTGCTTGTACTATCAGTGTTCTGTTCAGAATCTTGTCTCTGGTGCTAATGCATTGAAGGCTGTGCTCCACTTGTTCTTTTAACAGCTAAAATATATCTGGTTTTGTGCTGAGGCATTTGATCTACTTGTACTTGAGTTTTCTGCAGGATGGTGAATATGGATTTATTTGCATCCAGTTTGAACAGCAACATTTGTTCAAGATGATGTCTGTTTTTATCAAAAATCAGATATTCATCTGTATGTAGATTTAAGTCTGGTATTTCAGTTTGATTCCATCGATCAACACATCTGCTTTAATGCCTATACTTGGGAATGGTGGGACCTCCAGACGTTCTTTTGTTATGGATTATTTTAGCTATCATGTGGTTTGTTTTGTTTGTTTTTCTTTTTCTTTTCATATATGAAGCTTTTCTTTAATTGTTTATAAATTATTGTTTTGGGATTTTCATGGGGATTACATTGAATTTGTAGATTACTTTTGGCAAGAGGGCTGTTTTTCTACATTAATGCCTCTTTTGGTAGGAAAAACTGCCACTTTGATTTTATTGAAAACATTTTCTTTGAGCTGGGTTTCTTCTCCTTCCTTTATGACTATTATTCATGCAATTAGTATTTTCACACTGTTCAAGATTTTCTGGATGTTTTGTGTCAGAAATTTGTTTTATATTCAACATTTTCTTTGAACAATGTATTCATTTCTTCTGTTGTATCTTTAATGCCTGAGATTCTCTATTCCATTCAGTGTATTCTGTTGTTCATGTTCAAATTCCTAAATTTTTCATTTGCATAACTCCATCAGTTTGTGCTTTCCTTATCGCTTCCCTTTCCATCTTCAGGTATTAAACAGTTTTATTCATTTCCTCCATCTGTTTGTATTTCTTTGCTTACTTTAAGGAATTTATTAATTTCCTCCAATTAATTACTTGTGTTTTCCTGGATTTCTTTATTTCCTCTTTAAAGATCTTTATCATCTTCACATAGTTAGTTTTCGAGTCTTTTTCTAGTGCTTCAGGTATGGTGGAACATGTAGGTCCTGTTGTGGTAGGATACATGGGCTCTAGAGGAGACATATCGTCCTGGATGTTGATGGTTGTACTTTTATACCGGCATCTCAGAATCTGGGATTGGGACAAATAAAGTCTAAGTGCTGATTTTGGAATTTGTCTTTGTTGGGTGGATATTGTGTTTCTTGTTTGTTTGCTTGCATGTTTCCTTTATGTACATTTTGAGAGTGTGATGGATGTGTTTCCTGGACTGGTACAGCTGGTACATTCACAGGGAATGCCTGGTAGATAGAGGCTGAGTAACTAGGATAAGTTTGGAGAATGTAGGTTTTAGGAGAAGGTCTTTATGATCTATTGTGTCAGGGGTCCAAGGGGAAAGGAATACCACAGCAGGTTTTCAGCTACAGGGCTGAGAACAAGACTTGGGAATTGGATATTAAGAGCAGTAGAAGTGTGCATCTGACTGTAGCCTACTTGTTTCTCTGTGAAAAGCTGCTGTTGAATGAACTGGAGATCCCTGCTGGAGCTGGAGTTTATTACAAAGCAAAAAGTGTGGGGAAGGAGTTTAGGAGGGATGGTTCACAGTATCCCAAAGAGATGTGGGAAGAGGTGAGGGAAGGCTACAAGAGATTTTCTGTTGCAGTACTAGGAATGAGATTGGAGGATTGGAGTCTGGGGAGAGAAAGAGAGGGAGGGGAGTCCTGAATGCTTTCTGGTCTGGGGGAACAGAGAGAGAACAGAAGGTCTGCACCAGCCTATATGCTTTAATGGCAGGCATGGCCTCTGCTATTGCTTTTACTTTTAAAATAAATGAAACACAGGTTGTTTCATAGTGAGGCTTCCTTAAAACTGTTTTGGAAGCCAAAGATTAGGCAAAACTCTTGGGGGAATCCTGGGAACAAATGGAGAAGAAGGATTATGGGAGACCAAGGACACCATGGGAAAACACACAAATGTAACTAACATGGGCTCATGGGGACTCACAGAAACTGAACAGCCAACCAGGGAACTTGCATGGGACTGATATGGGCCCTCTTCACATGTTTTGCAGTTGTGTGGCTTAATCTTCTTCTGTGACTGCTGGCAGAGGAAAAGGGAGCTATCTCTGACTCTGTTGCCTGCTCTTGGAGCCCCTTCCTCCTACAGTATTGATTCTTTCATCCTTAACAGCCTTGATGCACCTCGACACTGCATGGATGGCTGATATACATGCTAGAACTGCACTGTTCTGAATGGAAAGGGTCTGGGAGGAGAAGAGGAAATTGTGATCAGTTTGGTGAAAATAAATTCATTGATTAATTAATAAGAAAGTTAAAAACATATGTTGGAATTGACTTACAATATGGGTTAATGACCATCATGAATGAATAACTTTGATCTTAGTTAAATCTCTCTGTATCTGGTATTTGGGGACTGTTGGCAGGACAGCCAAAAGTCCATGTGCTTGTGAAACAACTGTGGTAACAATCAGACAATCTCAGTGTCATTTAGAGAATTTCCAGCACATAATTGAGCTGTGTCAGTAACTGTAACTGACATGGTTAAGCAATGTCAGTAATTGTACTGTTTTATATGCTAAATCTCATTTTCCTTAGTTGTTGGAAATAACAAGGTTAGTGCATTCTATACATCCATGAGTTAGTGACATGACAGAAATATAAAATGTGAAAATGCAATGCCCATGGCTTGAAGAATATGCATTTTTGTGAAACATACAAACATATAAATAGATCATTGGTACCACACAGATATGCCATCTGCTGTGACAGCAATCACTTAGTTATTTATCACAGAAGACATACGGCTTTTCTTGTGCTTGCGCCCACAGTGCCTAGAACAGAGCAGGTCCTTAATATGCAGTGAATATGCCAAATGAGCTAGAGGCCATTTTTCTAAACATCATAATTTCATTGAAGTACTGTACAGAATCCTACCTTGCGTCCCTAACCATATCATATCTGAAATGCTGACAGTGACACTATGACCTCAAGATATGTCTTTGTCAGTTTGCATTTGTACAAACAATTTTCTCACATACTACACAGTTTGATCCTGCTGATATAAAACAGCAATTGCAAGTAAGAGGCTCTTTTAGGGCCCTTCCATCTGTATTTTCAGTCACATGTGAGAATAACTTGAACAAAATAAAGCAATGAGGAAAAGAAGTTCCCATTTTTCATTTGAACTCATTCTGATCAGGTGACATGTTGTGTGCTTAGAAAAGTCCCTGTTTAATTCTACAAATCCACAGTGTTACCAGTCTTCTTTATGTCAGCTTTGGGGTGCTCATATTTTTTGCATTTTGCAGAGATCCTGCAACATTTCTCTTTTGATCATTTGATGTCTTAGCTCCACAGTGACTTCAGTGAGTCTCCTTCTTTAAAACACAGCCACTTGTCCCCACTCCCCATAAAGCCTATGCCTCCCAGAGCAGCAACATACAGTTAAATAATCCAGGGGCAAGGAGACTCAAATTTCTTAGTGATGTATACTATAGTACATTGCCCCTATTCAAAGAATTAATTACTTACTTACACAAATGCAAGTAACTCTAATTAGTGTAGTAGATCACACATGTACTGAAAGATATAAAAGTACTAGGGAGATTTGAGACAAAGAGATTTAGTACAGGATTGCTCAGCTGTATAAGCTAGGCTCACAACCAAAAACATAAGAGATTTAGTAAGACAAAAAATGAGATAAGATTACAGAAAATTATATATATGGAATTATATATATGAATATATATTATACATGGAATTCTGAAAGAATAAATAAAGGAATGATTAGGTGAAAGTCAGTAGAGCAATTTGACTTGCTAATGACTTATACTTTCCTAAAAGGGATGATGTGGTGACATCGACAAGAGGAAAGGAATTTCTGTCAGAGAAATGATGAGTGAAGAGTGTGGTACACTTAGGATACATCTAGGAACTGACATGTGAGAGCACAATCTTGCTCCAGACAAACCAGCATTTAGGGTCTCTAGACAATGAAGCCAGTTCTTAAAATATCTAGACTTCATGCTAGCACCTTGCAGTAAAAGCTGCAATAAAGATTGGAGTTTCCATAATATGCACCCTGTAAATCCTGGATTCAGACTATTCTTTCTTCTGTTTGCTTTCCTTAGTATGAATAGATAATGATACAGAGGTACATAAAAGATTATGAGGATCCACTAAGAGCTATTCACTTGCTCTTGTGAAATGATTGCAAAATTAGCAATATCTTCTTACAAGTGCCTGATCAAGCATAGAAATCAGGGACTTAAAGAAAGAGAAGATTTCAATGCTAAGTTATCATCAGCTTCCCCAAACACACAGAGTACACTTCTAAGAGCTGTTCCCAGGAGCTTTTTCTGTGTTCTACTTCATAATTGTGGGCTTATCTTGAAAGAGAAGTCAAGGGCATTCATTAATGATATTTCAAATATTCAAGGACTCTGACAGCTGAATGCTGGGGGAGTGTAACCATGTGTATTAACTGAGCTGCATGCTGACCCTTTACTTGGTCCTGAGTTCTGTAACTCCACCTCCTACACTGTTGCCTGTGGCCATGACTCTTGATGTCCCAATACTGTAGTAAAATATGAAAAGAAATACATTAATTTAAAATTTGAACTTTATAAATGTCTACATAACTATAGGTAGGAGTACTTGTATATGGATTAATTTTATTTTTTTCAAGGGTGAGCATGAGCACAGTCCCCCACTACCACAAATTGTGCAGTCAAGTTTCCCTCACTTGGGGAAATCACAGGAGTCAGTATATCTGGAGTGCAATGGATAAGTCTTGCCCTGAGCAAATCACCTTTGTGATGATGGTATCACCCCTGCCAGGTAAAGTTATGAAATAGTTTTTAATATTGAATTATTGTAAAGACATCAATTAGACATATATTGCCACTAACAATGATAATTGACCATTAAAATAGTTAGTTGTAATGTGTAACTTTATAAACAGTCTTAGAAATTGGAAGACAGATATGACGCCACAAAATGCATTAGTGTTTTTAACAAAGTGCACATTGTCAGGCCTGTTATGTGGGGGCATAGACTCTGAAGTAATTAGGAAAAGGAAGATAAATTAGAAACTGATCACTGTGCTCAGTTATGTGAGCAAATGCAAAGATGAATGTAGGTGTGTAATGGATTGCAGGATAATGAGACCAGTCTTACTGAAGCAGTTATTTTTCAGATGAAGGGACAATGGGGAATTGTTGGATTTAGTTGAATCACAGAGGGCCATAATGGGAAAGTCCAGATCTTAATCATTCAGGGATTGAGACAATACGGTAACATTGGCAGTTGACCATTGAGGCAATAGAAAATGAAGAACTGATAAATGATATAGAAAAGAAATAATTCCAAATGCCACCTCTTTTACCTGACCAGGTGGCCAAATAGAAATAGTTCCAAGTCTTTGTGTTCAGCCAAATATAACTAGAGTAAATATTATTCCTATAACTGGTGAAAATTGAATATCTAAATATGAGATAAATTATGTGGGTTTTCTTTCTATTGAGCATGATAAATTTCACCACATTTTGCTACAAAAAGAAACATGCTATGAATTGTACTGTAATTCCACATAATGACAAGCACACTGCAGACATGATAGTCTCTTGGCCAAACCTTAGGAGGCATGCAATGGGAGAAAAGGGAGTGCCAATGTTTTTAATAATCTAAGTGTGATTCAGACATTTGTGCTGAATGTCTTGGACTTCCTCACATCTTGCTCAACTTCTCTGATTTGGTTCTAATTTCCCAAAGGGAGAAATCCATCACAATCTTTTCCAAGCTCCATATAAGTCCCCTCTTTGTCTCTCCTATCTGAACTGTCACAGACCCAGTATGAAAGCTGATTTGTTATAGTCACACTTTTTTCTTTAGGCGATCATGGCTGTTAAGGAAAAATAATGAGTATAAAATAGCTTGTCCTGAAATTCTGTTGTCAATAGAGTTGGCGAAAAATAAGAAGAAAAAAAACAAATAAAAGCCTACCTGTCCTCAGGGTTATAAATATAACCATCAAATCTCCCCCTGGGTTTTTATGATAAATAGATATACCAAGAAGATATTTCAGTGAAAAACTATCTATATTTTAGTGCAAGAAAGACAGAGCCATTTATTAACTTCCTACCTCTTAATTTTCCTAATGCATTGTCCATTTTGTGTGCATTCATATATATAATTTTTAGTGCTGTTAGAAATAAACTATCGAGATGGAAATAATCAAACTTTATTATATATGTACTACATAATTTTAGGGAAAAATCAGCTGAAAATTTTTTATTTCAGTTATTCTGAAAAACTAAGTGGCTTAAAATATGATGAACCAATGTGAGACTCTGATACAAACAGAAACAGAAGACAAAAGGATGACAAGAGGATAAAGAAGTATAACACACATAGAAGACACTAGGAATGGAAGAAGTGTTTGAAATGAAAGTCTCTCCCATTCCCTTCACCTTCTTTACAGCTCTGTCAGTAAACTTGGAATCATGTCTATTATAGCAAGGGAAGTTACAGCGGAGATAACATGGAACACCTCTAGATCAGTTGTGAACAAAACTGGGCAAGGAAGGAAAAGATAGTAAGAGAATATGGGTTACATTGTTGAGAGGTCTAGGCAGGGTATGCAAATTTTGACATTGTGATATATAACACTGAGCTGCACCCATGGCTGTCTTACCACACACCAGACCTGCATGCCAAGGGGTGGACATACATGATTGAATGTTACAGGAAAGCATGAGACATTTGGTTCTGGAAGGATCTGCATACTAGCAGAAATCTAACCATGTCATTGTAACAAGGAGCAACATGTTGTTAGATGCCAAAAACAACAGTGAGAAAGCTATGATCATGCATTGACCACCTGGGGTCAAAGCAAAGCCTGATTCCCCTACTTGAGAACATGGAAATCAGTCAGAAAAATAATCAAAGTAGTGGGTACACAAAATTGTGATGGTGACATTATTGCTTAGATATAAGGGCACTTCTGATTGCTATGGAGGCATGAAGCAAAGAACACTCTCAGTCTCTCTGAGAGTTTATTCAGCATGGGGCTCATTATCAGACTGATTTTAAAATATTCATTCCATACACTCTCACATTTCTGAGTATTTATGTATTCCTTTTTATTTTAATTTTAAATAGCTTGTTTTACATGTCAATCCCAGTTCCCTCTCCCTCCCCTCCTCCCACATCCCCCCATCATCCTCCCCATCCTCCCACCCTATTGCCAATTCCTTCCACATAGGGGATATCTAGAGTCTATCATTTCACTCAGGGTATGGCCCAGGCACTTCCCTAAGAGTCCAGGCAAAGAGAGCAACCCTCTTTGTGTTATGGACACACGATGTCTGTTAGTATTCAAGGGATAAACACTGATCCACTGCTCAGGACCCCATAGGTAGCCCAGGCCTCCTCATGGACTCTCACATTCAGGGGGTCTGGATCGGTCCCATGCTGGCCTCCCAGCTGTCGGTCTGGGGTCCAACAGCTCTCCCCTGTTCAGATCAGCTGTCTCTGCTGGTTTTGCCAGCCCATTCTTTGCCAATTTGCTCATCGCTCCTCTCTCTCTGTCGCTGGGTTCCTTGGGTTCCGTTCAGTATTTAACTGTGGGTGTTTGCCTCTGCTTCCATCAGTCATTGTGACCTCTAGTGATCTAAACGGGTGACACCAATTGGCAAGCTAAGCAATAGTGTAGAGACCACCTCGAATGCCCATTCCTGATAGTGAACTTGATGTATTTGTGTATTCTTAGTGTCTACAATTTCATGTACAATAGGACCTGTCTTCTGAGATTTAATTATATACCAGCAAAAGCATCATGGAAAAGACCACTAACATAAGTCCAGCAGACACTGATCTTGTGCCATACCTAAAGGTATTGTCTTTCTGTCCACAAAATGACTTTGCTTGTCTCCCTTTATTGTAACAAGAGAAAGGGTACTGTTCACTGGCTTCACATTTATTTGTTCCTTATTTCATCAAATTGTTGTCAACACCAAAATTCCCTTACAGTGTTGTATAGAAATACTTTTTTATTAGTGAAATCTACATGGAAGTGGCATGTTGTCCTCCCATGGCTGCTTCCTTAAGGTACCAAGAGTAGCAACGACTTCCACAAATCCTCTATCATCTCTTGTTACTAATTTGGTAAAAAATATAGGAATTCCAGAAGCCCTGGAGCTAAAGAAACTGAAAGATTAATGATTCAGTGTCCTGAAACCACTACATAGAACGTGGACCTCAGACTTCACATACTGCATTAAGGAAAACAATGGAGTTTATATTCTGTAAGTCACTCAGTTTGGAGCTTATACAGCAGTTGATATTCAGCAGAAAGTAGGCACCCATTGACAATTGCTCTCAGGTTCTGTTTTTTTTTTAATGCTTTTAATTTACTTAATTCATCTGACTCATACATGAATTTCAGTTTTCTTTTTTTATTTTCCCTTTCTCTGTTGTCTCCCTACCACATTTTTCATAGAGTTTTGAAGCAGCTTCAAAACACACAGCTTTTTCTGCAACCTTTTGTTCAATAAACAACTTCAAATTTCTACTAGTCCACAGTGATGTGGCCATGAGGGTCAATGCTTGAACAGGAAACTGGGAGATCACATTTTCTAAAGCTAACTTATAAATTATAAATAAAACTTACAGATCAGAGAGGATGGACTGGAAGCTGGCCAAGGTTATGAATTACCAAACACGGCTTACAGTGACATACTTTCCTCAACAAGGTTCCAGTTTCTAAAGGTTTCACAACCTGCCCCAACAGTACCACAAACTGGGGACTAAGTTTTTGAATACTTGAGCCTATGGAGGACATTTCTTATTCAAACTTCCACATCAACAAATGTGTGAACACTGTGTTCAATGACAGACCTTTTCTTAAAAAACAACTTCCTGTCTATACACACACATAGAGATATACACACACACACAAACACACACACATGCACAAACACACATCTTACATACATACATAAACACATAGAAGCACATGTTAATGGTACTTAATATAAATATATTTGGGAGATAATTTACAAATTTTATAACGAGTTTAAAGACTTCAGTTCCTTTTTTTGTTTCCTTTATATCAGTTCAGAATAGGCACATATTTTGTGTCTACATATGACTATTACCTGGCATTTAATTTGGTATCCATGCACAATTTTTTGTTCTCTGTGAATGACTCTCCAAATTCTACCTGAAATATAGAACTTCATGATTCCATTTCCTGCCTTTCTGATTCCAAGGATTTTGCCAGTTAGATCTCTAAGAAATCACAAACAGGTTACAAACTTCCCAAGAGGTGAGGAAAACCATTCAAGAGTGACCTCCAGTTTAGGGATGTCCCTTTCATACATCTTGGAAAGTTTCATGTGGTATTTTCAGACATAAATTTTTTGTGTATCCAAAATTCTTAATCATCATTTTGTCTTGCGTTAAATTTGCAGTGAGTTTCTGATTCTTTCTGATGGAAATCTCCCTTACCTTATATCTATTGCATGGAAGTTACCAGACCATCACACACATCTAATTCCCTGCATCCTTCTAAAGACTAGATTATTAAGTTGTTCCATTAGAGTTCATGAAGCTTAATTTACCTTATTTGAAATGTCTTTAGTAATAATTCATATTTTTATCTTACATGCTGGAACTTTACCAGAATTCTGTGTCAGTTCTCAGCTCAAAATCATGTCAATTTTGTTGGCTGATGATTTTAAGATCCTCAAGTCTTTCTCTGCTGCCCCAAGTATCTCTTGAACAGCAGAATGTGGGAACAGGAGGAGTTAATAGGCTCACCATTCATAGTTATTCATTACTAAGA